GGCTCAGCGGTATGTCTGCGGACTTACAACGCTAGAAACCGGGTTTCGATACCCGTGGTGGGCAGAGCACAGATAGCCCTTGTGTAGCTTTGTGCATAAACAAATCTGGGGCTTGGGAAAGTTATTTAAGAATTGTACACAAGGTAGAAGTTTCAACCTTCCTTCAAATCTTAAGTTTGGCTGTGCCTCTCTTTTTGTTTCAGAGGTTTGTTTGAGTTACCAGTATTTATTTTTGTTATTCCAGTCTTTTAGGAGATTTCTATCCTTCTCTTATTACTTCAGAGAGTTGTATACGTTATAAACAACTCATTTGTTATTTCAGATACTTGTGTGAATTATTCATTTTTTCCCGGTCAATGTTCAGTGGATTTCTGTATTTTTTCACTTTCATTTTTCTTTGTAATTTCGGATGTTTAGCAATTCATTGTAATTTTGTTTATAATTGACTTCCGTACGCAAAAATACATCCCTTTATTCGATAGAAAACAATTCAGAAGTACATTGTAGAATATAAAAGTTAGGGCATTTTATGATTTTCTGACGGACACCGTGTTTTATCTTTGCATAATTATTCCAATCTGGTTTGTGGACTTTTACTCTGAGAAAAAAAAAGGGTACTTCAGGTAATCTATAATTTTTCACTATAATACGTCTGGAGCATGATTTCATTGCGATATATATTAATTTATGTTTTGAAAACATATCCAATAAACAAAACATAAACTGCCACAGACTCTATTTTGTAACATTTAATAAGTGAGGCATTAGAAACTGTAATATAAAGAAATTCAATGCATTGGTTTAATTTATTAAGATACATTTAGGAATGGAATACGGTGCTAAATGTTATCTTTCTACTGGTATTTTATTAGAATTTAATTAATACGTTCCGTGTACAGGTTTTTGCGTTCCCCTTTTCTTCGGGGGTGGAGGGGGATATGCGCGTCATTCTGTTGATATGTTTTGCGCTAGAAGGAATTTATTTTTCTGAGTTTGTGTAACGAACGAAAAAGAAGGAAACATACAGGTTGCAAGAATCTGACGCTTGTCTTGCGATGTACGATCAACGTGAACTTGATGTAAACTTGTGATGTACGATCAACGTGAACTTGAAGTAAAGCTTTTTCGATTTTCTTTTTATATTTAAAAAACGGTTCAGTTTTTTCAAACATTTTTCAATAATAGTCAGTAATGGTCACTAGTTAAAGATAAAAAAAAAGTAATTTCAATTTTATATTCAACAAATTATGGGCCGAGGGTAACTGTCGCTGTTTTTCAATTACAACAGATATAACAACATATCAAATGTCTAAAACTTGTTGATCGCGCATCGCTAATGTAAATAATAAATAATATATATTTGGTAATGGAAGAATATATTTCTGTAATGATGGACTACAAGTGTGAATTAATAAGCTTCTTCCAGGTCCAGAGCAATAGTACATATATATTTGGTAATGGAAGAATATATTTCTGTAATGATGGACTACAAGTGTGAATTAATAAGCTTCTTCCAGGTCCAGAGCAATAGTACATATATATTTGGTAATGGAAGAATATATTTCTGTAATGATGGACTACAAGTGTGAATTAATAAGCTTCTTCCAGGTCCAGAGCAATAGTACATATATATTTGGTAATGGAAGAATATATTTCTGTAATGATGGACTACAAGTGTGAATTAATAAGCTTCTTCCAGGTCCAGGGTAATAGTACAAACTTTCGTCCTTTCATTTTTTATAACGTGAGAGGAGTCGAACGTTATCTGTTGTCATGGCAATGAACAGTGAGCTTTGAATGAGTAGAGAACATAGACGCCGCTTAGTTTGTTAACTGTTGAAATTAGGCCGGAATACAATACTGACGTGACGTAACCCGGGAAATATATGTTATCTCGAATCCTTCATAAATATAGATCGCCTTATATGAAATACTATGAACTTACAACTATTTATGGCTATATGTATGTATAAACGATAGTTCCCGTGTTATGGTATATCGTACATTATAAATATCGTCAAAACACTAAATCTATATAATAAATACAAGCGTATATTAGAATTGAAGTCTTATAATTTTGTACAAAATAACTTTATGTTTTCCTGTAAATAATGTAGACGTTTCGATTTAGAAATAAAGCATCTCTTACAGTACTCAAAGAACGCAGTGCAAAACGTATTTAAAAACATTCTTTAAAAATGTACGATCAATCATTTTACGGGCAAACCTGCTATGCTTTATAAACATATTTGTATATTCAAATGCTATCAGTAGCTTCATCAAATATAATTTTGACTCATTCTACTGCATCACGCAAAATCCAAATAGCTATTAAAAACGCATTTTCAAATTATTTGAAAAAGCAATTATTAAATTTTAGTACCAGAAGGTTTAAAAATCACAATATATATGTTTATCTTAGGATACTTGAAAATTTCAGTTATTATTCTTAACGTTAATGTTGAGTTTGAAAACACCACGGATTAAATAATTAAAAACGCCAATAATGCAGACTGAGTTAAGCGAGAATTAAACCAAGAATAATTTATGAAACAGATTAACTTTGTATTTTATCCCATAGATGGTTTTTATTAATCTAATCACCTATTCATAAGAAACTTTCACTCCTCTTTCCTGAGACGTAATTAGCACGTGACAAAAAACAAAACAAAAACATGTCTACATTTCTTACAGGTCTACTGAAAATTACTCCGTTCGGAGCTACTGTATAGAATTGAACCAAATTTAGCTGTCTTCACTATAATAAGTTGTTATTGGTGAATAATAACTTAACGAACATTTACCATATTCTTCACGTGCTTAGAGAACATTGGAGCAGTTTTAAAAAGAGGTGTTTTCAGATTCAACTGACTTGTAGTTAGTCACACAAGGCAAGCTGAGCGAAAATGTTTGTATTTCATGTTTTCTAAAACAGTTTTTAACACTTGAAAACAACAGAAGAGCCAAGTAAGTGCGTTGTACCAATTTTCATGATAGGATTTGTTAACTTAAAACGATATCTTAAGCTCTAAGATTATTCTAACAATTATTCTAGCATTGGTGTATTCATATACATGTGTTTATGAACAAATAACGGACTGTAATGACTTAGTATGTGTTTTTTTTTCTATATTAGTTTAAAAACCTACGTGCTTGTATTTGCAACACTAAGTTATGTAACAACGAAGTGAAGTGGAAATACTTTACTTACTTGTTCATGTCTGTTACATACTAACATATCACGCTACAGATGTTCAGTATATGTGTTGAACACAAAAACACTCATATACGTAAGTTCTAATCCATATCCTTAGTTGTATGCTTTTTGACACAAAAGAACAGTTATATTGAAAAAAGTTATCCGAAAAATAGATTATGCGCATCGGACAAACATACAGAATTTGCCTACCAAATGCAGGGCCTATTTTCAGTTATTTCTATAGCGTTTTATATGAATATGAAACTTTTATCACGGAAAAAAAAATTCTGTTTAGATCAATATACCTAATAAATTATCCTGCTATAACCAGGTAATGATATTTCTTACATAACACTAAGGTTATTGTAACCCTTAATTATGTCGATATTCGATATTTTTGTTTTCTTACAATCAAGTAAATCTTGATGTTACTTCGTCTTTTTTCTCAGACGTGATCTTGGAACCTGAATTCACGGAGCCGATCCCGAATGTGACAGTAGCTATAGGACATGATGCTGCTATTCCATGCGTTGTAGAAAACCTTGGATTTTACCGGGTAAGGTCATTAAATTACGAATGCCATTTGTCTACTAATAACGTATTCTTAAAATCGGGAAACCAGAATGTTCATGATATTGTATTTCAGGGTAAAAACCTCTTGTAAATACCTTTACTTCTGGACAAAATGTTACCTCCTTTCTTTGTGTATCCTTCTTTGACTCCCCTATTTTTCTTAACCCTTTCTATAAGAGTTATAACGAAATTTTGTTTTTGAACCTTACACCATAAGGTTTCTTACTCTGTGTTACACTTACATTTTACTTTTGTTTTTATCGTATACAGAAGTATTTCCCCACGCTCTGTATTAACATCATTTTTCATCTTGAACGTGGGATGTACGGGCATTATATAGTGTTTATCATGATACTGTATATCATTTGACTTTGGCTGAGGCTTCAACTTTCACTTTTTTGTAAAGTTATGCAGCCTAAAGATTATAATAACCTGTGTCAGGCCTTCTCTTGACTTAAAGTTGGACAGCTTGTCAAATGTAGCAGAGTGTTGGTTAAAACATTGAACATTATCGTGACATATGCTGTCAATTAAACTGATCAACTTTTATAACTTATTGAAAAGCAAGCAACATTTCACGTCATATTTGTAGTGTATAGAATGCTTAACAGCCGATGCTAAGATACTACATTTAATTGTGTTGACATTTTATTAGATTTTAGGCAGTTTAGGTATTGTTATCCTCTTCATTTCTAAAAACAGGTGTCAAGTTTGCTGCTTTTAATGTATAAACAGAAAAACAGACAGAAGAACAATACTGGTTGCTATAACAATGCAATAACGATCGTGTACTTTACAGTATATATATATAGAAATTCTAAAACAAAAACACTGCTTACTAATTCTTTGTTTATACGTCTCATGTTATAAGTTATGTCCACTTATAAGCGTTTTTAAAGGTTTTGATTCAACGTACGCCCAGACAGAAACTGTCAACAATTTTCTATATTTAGCGAAAGGTTGTTTTGTTAGTTTCCACCGAGTTATGGAAGAATCATTTACAATAACTTTATTTAGTTCGCCTCTCAATCATTCTACGTGTAGGAATGGAGGTTAAATAGGAGAAGTAATTCTTAAGTGCAGTGGAGTAAAGCGGAATTTTCTTCGAGATAACCCTATCACCTTTAAGATCATTGAATCTCTTTCCTACATTTTCTTGTTTGATAAAACGTTTCCTATTTTACTTCATATTTCTTCTCGTCTCACCCTCACCAAGTTTCTTTGTTCATTTAACCAATTCCTTTACAGACAGATCGCAGAAAGTGATCTATTTCCTTCCAGAAGGAGACACACTTTCTTGTGGTTATCATCTCGAAACGTTAGCGTTATTCAGTTATAAAGTTATAAAGGTTGTCAAACGCTGGCGTAAGAAGTAAAAACAACAATGATTAAAATATGAACATTCCATAACAGAATTTTTAAGATACTGACATGTCATCCAGGAAAATGGATTTTCTTTTCTATGGAACTTCCAGGATGGTTTTATATACAAGGTCATATGAAGGTTAAAGGCCTGATTAAAAATCACAACATAGTTTTTAAAGATTTGAAACGCATATTTAAGTCGAGTGCCAACCTTGTAGTATTTCCAGAGCGTTTCAAATGAAAATCATTTAAAAAGTTATGTGAAAAAAAAGAGAAATCCAGTGATTCAAACTATTTTCCATATTTTTCACTTTTTATTTTGCTTTTATATTGAAAAATATTTGCTCTTGTTGTTGTTGCGAAAACTGCTAACAGTAAGGAATAACAATTAAACTATTCTACGTTATTTTTTATCAGTAATTTAATAACTTCTTTTCTGATTTGAAGTACACGAGTGCTTATTGCATACACATTAAAATAAAACAATTTCAAAATTGCTTTGAATTTTTAATCCAACTATTACTTGCCTTGCTGTATAGAGACAGTTAGTAATTAGTTTCCTTGAAATTGTGAGTATTTACACTTCATCTATTACCCATTGCTTTGAATTTTTAATCCAACTATTACTTGCCTTGCTGTATAGGGACAGTTAATAATTAGTTTCCTTGAAATTGTAAGTATTTACACTTCATCTATTACCCATTCCAATTAAACGTATACATCCTTTGAGTATGAATTCAGTCTGTTTGTGTTTTCATATAGATGTCATACATAAATATTCATGCATAACACTACTTAGTACAAATCGCGTGCTTTATACAGGGGATTACAAAGTAACTGAGGCAATGGATGGAGCCAGACGAATCACTACGCAATTGTGAAAGATATATAGGATTTAGAATAAGTTGGAAACGGAGATTTTAATGAAACAAACGAGAGGGGTGGAGGTTGTCGTCTCGTGGTATTTTGAAAAGTTAGCATTTATAATTTTTATCGTTCGAGTCTTTGTAAAATGTGTTTCCGGTCACAAACACCCCTAAAAAAATTCGTCTTGTGTAAGTATTACTAAGATGGAAAACGCAAGTACTTTTTAGGGTATACCGCATGACATTGTTTCTAGCCAAAATGGGCTGGGTGTGGCTAAGGATTTGCGTGAACGAACCGTGAGGGCTTATGGTCCATGGCCCGTTACCGCAATAACGCGCTTTGGAATCTAGGGCCGTGAGGATCAAATCTCATATCTGATCAGACAATAATAGTTCCAAAAGTTGGTGTTAGGTTCTGTTCATTAACTTTTTTTTTTCTAGTTTATCATTTCAAAAATTAAGTACGCCTATTATGGAAAATATGAAACCAAGAAACCAACCTTGCGAAAAGCTGTCATTTTGAACACAATGCAAATTAACTGCTTGTTGAAATGATTATAAATACCAAGAAAACATGTTAGTGTCAAGTATCCATTTTATTTTTCAAGTTTATAAGTAAAATTGCTATTCTTGTTGACGTAGTATTTTTCAATAATTTCACTCGGTATGAAATAAGTTAGGAAAATGAAAATATTTAGTCATTAAAATTATTTTTTCGTCATAAAACCACCACCATATATCAGTTTCTGAATTATAAACTAAGTTAGTCCAAACTATTTTCATAATTACTAGAAAAGTTTACACATAATTTTTAGAAGTAATTTTAATTTTCCTACGATGTATGATTATTGATTTAGCTGAAAAATTCTATTTAATATTTTTAGTATTATACAGTAAGTTTATCTTTGTGCTCGTTGAAAAACTAAAGAAATACTATCTAATTTGACCTCTTTATCAACATAATTTTATTTTAATATACCGATTCTGTATAAATGACCTTATTCTGTAAGGGAAGTGTAGAAAAATGGAAGTTAAACTACGTATCAGCCTTTATATTTTTGACGGCTACAAGCTGCTTCCCTTTATTGTGTTTGTGTTTCATAATCGAACTGTTCTGATTTTGAATCAGTTCAAATCTTTCTCCGGTTTTTGATAGGTTGCATGGTTAAGAGTCGAGAGCAAGACCATCTTAACCATTCATCATCATGTCATTACGAGGAACTATAGAGTTAACCTTGATTACAGTGACCATATTACATGGATCCTTCAAATAAAAAATGTACAGGAATCGGATCGAGGATTCTATATGTGCCAGATAAACACGGTGCCCATGAAGAGTCAGACAGGATATCTGGACGTGGTTGGTAAGTAGAGAGACGTTTGTTGTTTTAAAATGTTGAACACAGTAACTACATGTGATAAAACTACTTATAGACTGAGAATTATTATATTACGAAATATTTATGAGATAAGCGTTTACAAAATGGCCGAGTATTCTAGTGTCAATGTTGGACGTTACTACAGCTTCAGAATAACTGTACTGATCATCGTCAAACAAAAATCAAAACAGTCAGTTAAAATTTAAATAGACTCACGAAAATATTATCGGGAGTAGATATGTACATGTGTTTTTAACATTTTATTTATTTATTTCCGATTTATTCCTCACAATTTAGCCAAAAACTTCAAAATATAGGGTTGGTAGGTGTTCATACATGAAAAATACGTTCCAGACGTAAGGTTTCAATTCGTCTTCTGCACAAGTGTTCTTCAGTGAGACTATGAAACCACTCGGTTTCGATACGTTAGTACGAATTCTAGGCGTTTAATTTGCAAAGCACCAAAGTGATGAATTAACAATTTACGAATATTTTTTTATTTAAAAAAATCAGACTCTTTTTTTTTTTCTTTACAAACGCAGTCAAGCATTTTCGCAATAATCAAGAATAAACTTGCTTGTGGGAATTTAATCTTCTCACGCTGTTCTTGTAGGGCAGCAAGCAAAAATAAACTCGCGTATTAAAGCTATTAATTTGCATATTGTATTCCTGAGAATTAATCAGAAGGAAAACCTAACCTAACATCTGAAAACATTAGTTTTTACAATACACGTGCTGTGTCAACATTTTTTCTTCATACAAGTATTATACGACAGTTCACTGAGCAACAATCGTGACTTTCTAAATTCGTTACTCCTTTGTGAGTGTGTGAAAAGCATATTTAGTCAGTTAAGTGATATTTAGTGAAATACTTAAAATAGTTACGTATGAAAAGTGCACGACTGAAAAAATCAGTTTTATTATGATAGTTAAAACACAAAATTCTTTGCTTAATTGTTAAAGTTTTCACAGAAGAGTTTATTTCAAATACTCAGCAGAAGAGATTGCCCATGACTTCAGCCCTATATATACTGATAGAGGTAGCTTCATATAACTTTTTATAATGAGTTAAAACCTTCAGTTATAGAGTCATATACCCATTCTTAAGTAATTTATGTATTATCCTACATAATTATTTTTGTCATGTTACAGAAATATATAATTTTGGCATGAGTCTTTATCTAATAGAGGTTTACCTACTAGTAAAATGTTCTTGATATTCATTCACTTATAAATTACCTTACATTTTACTTTCTAATGAGATGAGATAAACACTGTATATTCTGTACTGTTGAAAATATATGGAAAACAGTATTTTGACATTAAATGACGGCTTTGTAGTTAAAGTTCTTAAAAATTATCATTTTTTGTTTCTTATGAGATGTTGAATAAACACAGCACATTTATCTCAACACTTTTTCAGTAAATTTAAAAGAGTTGTTTCGAATTGCAAAACTGCAGACTTACAACGCTAGAAACCGGGTTTCGATGCACGTGGTGGGCAGAGCACAGATAGCCCATTGTGTAGCTTTGTGTTTAACTTCAAACAAACAAACCAACGAATTGCAAAATGAGATATATGATTATACTTGAACAGATTGTGAATATTATCACATCTATCTAGTTGGACTGCATATTAAAACACTCTCAGTTATATTTTGAAATTAACTAAACATAAACACAAAGATAGTTAAAAAAAAAGCAAAGAGGTCATCATATCTCCTGAGGATGTCTATAGAGATGTGAGAGACTTCATAGTATGCCTGTAAACTGAAAGCACCCGATTTAAATTTGATTCGAGTTTATTATTATATGACTAAACCAGAGCAAATAAATACGAAAACGTCGTAACTTTGAATACAAAATGTTTAACGTGCTGAACAAATTAAGCCCAATTAAAATAGAGATGAGGAAAACTGAAACTTTGATACCTAACCAGCTAAGCTTAATGAACTAATTATATCGATTTCTTGGCACTAAACGTGGAAGTTTTAAAGAGAAAACTTGATGTTAGATAAGAAACTGTGGTTACTTGTCAGCTTTCGGCAACGAAAGATGTAACAATTTAAATTACGAATACATGTTTTACCTGGTACGTTTTTACTTGTGCCACAAAAGAGATTTAATAAACTGGAAAAATAAATCGTTAGAGCGAACCTAAAAAATAATTCCAAAAGTTAAGAAATTACTTTAAAGGTATATTGAGGATGCAGGAAACAATGTCACTTGAATAGTTCTTAGAATATCTAAAAAAAAGAGCACGATTTGCGGTAATCACCTAGAAGAACAATGAGGTAAAAGTGTTTATTTTATAGTGTATACTTTATTAGTACTGCGAAGATAACTTAGATCTGATAAAAAGGCAGTTATTGTATTTTATGCTATCTAAACTAAAATGGAAATTGTCGTTGGTTGTTCTGTTCAGTTGGTGTTTAGTAGTAGGTTAGTCGTAGTTTATAATAATAATATGCACATGCTAATTAATGCAGTGGAATGTCACCATAGATGCGAGATGTGGCGCCACAGGCAACATATTTAGCATTTATATTCTAAGAACGAAGAAAGAAATTAAAGAAGAATGTATACCATTATATCTACCTTTCGTTCAATAGTAGGTATAATCAGACCGGCTGAGGTGCAACAGACAGAGTGATGGTTGAGACACTATGAACAACAACTGTAATATCGTGAACTGGATTAGGTTGACGAAATATAATTATTATTGATTTTATATGAGCCAATTACAAGTCAGAATCAGGATAAGGATTAATAACACAATATTATTTATATATTTTAATTCCAATTATTTTTTTGCAAATATTTATTTTTATTTGATTTAACTTTACTCATTATTCAAAAGAACTAACGAAACAGCAAGTTAGTCTTGTTGTGACAAAATTGGCTCAAGCAATAAAGCGTCAAAAGGAGAAAAGTATTTTGCCAATTCTAGGAACATAAGTGTGAAATTAAAGAATAATTCATAACAATATGGGAACCATACTATATCTTCTACATCTAGTGCCGACGAGGTCTTTCGTCAATATCAAGGTTCATCAGGTTGACGGCAAATTCGCGACCATTTGACAGCTCAAGGCTGTAAAGCGTAAACTTATTGCTAAGAGAAATATGTTCCAGAACTCGCTGAGAAATACTATTCTTACACTCTGATTATTAAATAATTTAGATCTCAAAGTACATTTCCAAGAAAAAGCATTTAATGGTCTATATAGAAGCGATAAAACTGATACAGTCTTTGTTTAGAGCAGCAACAAGCTCCGAAACCGAACGACTGAAAGCCAATCTGGATCAATACGCTCATCCTCAAAATGACAATTACAATTACGAAAGAGAACCTTTCTGTTCACCCCAAAACCATTACAATGAAGCTGAGCATGTCTCTTGGTACCGTTGATAATAAACAGGGATTTGAAGTTGACAAAGACACGAACAAATCAAATGTTTAAAATTACTCAGCTATACCTTGAAATCAACATTTGTTTTCACGCAAAAAAAAACAAAAAAACAAAAAACACTGAAGTCACCGAAACCACAACAGTCCTTTTCGACAACATTTTTTTCGGCTATTCTTATGCAATTTCAATGGACTTTTGTGACTTCGGCCTGCTTAAACGTGGTCTTGGAAGACAATGTCCACGTATAGTAGAGGGTCTGTGGAAATATTACTAAAATGTATGGTCTTAGATGGACTTCAGCGTTCATTGCAGTGGAAAGTACGGTATTGATCAATAGTGTGTTATCATAGCCACAAGTGTAAGCAAGACCAAAGATGGAAGTAGTAATT